AAACAAACAAGAGGCCGAGAAAGAGATGATGGTGGGCGTCCAGATACCGGGTCAAAGGAAGGAAATGAGGGAACGGGCTGATCTGGGAGAGGGGGCGGATTGGAGCGGCTCAGGGCCGGTTTCTCTGGGATGAGAACATTGGGCTCTGATCCAGTCCCATGCTCCCAACCTCTGCTACTTCCTGGCTTTAACTCATCACCCAGCCCCCACTCCCCCCCCACACCCCTCACTGGTTTAATGATTCACTCTCCATCTTTCCCTAGCTTCCTGGGTGGCGGGAGTCTCCCGGGATGGTGGAAAATTGGGGTGAGAATGAGTAAGGAAAAAAAAAGGCAAAAACTGGGTTCTCCGGGACATCTCTTCTTCCCATTCTGGGATGGCGGCAAGAAGGGTCCGTGCATGGGGAGGAGGATGGTGAGGCTAACTAGGCCCAGCTGGAGCTAGAATTCCAGATGTGGGACTTAAGTGTTGAAACCTGAACCTGAGGTCTCTCTCTTATTTTCCCTGAAGCCCTGAGGAAATTTTCCATCACAAACAAGCTACGCATTCCTAACCTTGGGGCCTCCCCCCACTCTCCAACCGGACACAGTTTCCTTCCATCCCCAGCTCGCCTCCCCCATGGGTGAGGAGTGTGAGCAGGTGTGAAAAAGCCTCAGCTCGGGTGCAAACGTGGGAATGCTGAGGAAGAGGACGTTTGTGTACGCCTACAAGAAGAGGTGTATGTAAGGAGGAAGTTGCCTCCTGTGTATAGATGGGGCTCACTAGCCCAGGAAACAGTCATGTACACAGCAGTGAAACCTCTATTCCTTGAACAAGTGTGAGGCTGATTTGCTTTACTAAGCATTCTAGGTTAAAAAAAAAAAAAAACGACCATCTGTGTTTCCTGTCTGGTATCTAAAAGCTGTTCTAGGGCTGACAAAATGGCTCAGTAGGAAAGGGGGGCTTGCTGCCAAGTCTGACGACCTGAGTTCAAACCAAGGAGCCTACCTGGTAGAATGGAAAGACCTGACTCCCAAGAGTTGTCCTTTCACACACACACACACACACACACACACACACACACACACACGCACACGCACACGCACACGCACTCACGCATGCACACACGCACTCACGCATGCACACACGCACTCATGCATGCACACACTACCAGATAAACTTAGTAATAATTTAGCTGGGCGTTGGTGGCACACGCCTTTAATCCCAGCACTCGGGAGGCAGACAGGCAGATCTCTGAGTTCGAGACCAGCCTGGTCTACAAGAGCTAGTTCCAGGACAGCCTCCAAAGCCACAGAGAAACCCTGACTCAAAAAAACAAACAAACAAACAAACAAAAAAAAAACAAAAAACTTAGTAATAATTTTTAAACCTTTCATGTCGAGCCAGAGGCAATGGTGGTGTCTGGCTTTATTCCCAGCACTCAGAAGGCAGAGGCAGGTGGATCTCTGTGAGCTCGAGGCCAATCTGGTCTACAAGAGCAAGTTCCAGGACAGCCAGGGCTACACAGAGAAACCCTGTCTTGGGGGGAAAGAAAAGATTATTGAGGGGTTAGAAAGAAGGCTCAGTTTACTGCTCTTTCAGAAGACTGTAGTTTGGTTCCCAGCACCCATAAGGCAGCCTATAACCACCTGTGACTCCAGTTCCAGGGGTTCCAGCACCCCTCTTCTGGCTCCTTTGGCTCTTGCGTGGGTGAAGTGCACATACACACATTCAGATATATACATTTTTTTAAAAGGGTTATTGAGCAAGTGCTGCCTGCGAGGCATTGTGCTGGGTTCTATGCAGGACAAGGTGTGTGTTCCACAGGCTCTGACTGAATCATGGAAGTCACGTATGTATACTCACCAGGCTCGAATGAGATAAAGTTCTGAGCCAGGTACACCTCAGACCCCTGGAGCCTAAGTGTCCTTACCCAAATCTGGTGATCTCTCGCTAGGGATGTCTCTTCTGGTCTTATTTTAGGTTGCTGCTATTACCTTCTGCCTGAACCCCTCCAGCAGCTCACGGCCCCTCGTAACCCCACCCTTGAGGGCATGGTCCCCATCCCAGTCAGTTCTCAGCTTAGATTGCTCTCATCCTGTGTGCTCCATGATCTGGGGCCCTCTCTGCCTAGCCCCTCACCCGCCATTGGCGCTACCTAGGAAACTTACTGTGACATTGTGTTCCTTGTGATCTCTCCAAACAAATCCTGTACTTTTCCAGTTCTAAGCCTCTGCTGACTCCATTTTTTTCCCCCAGTCACCCTTCACATCAGAATGTGTCATATATCACCTAATGGGTCATCTTAAGTGTCACTCTTGACTGAAGTGTCCCTGAAAGATTAGTCAGATGGGAACACGAGCTCCTCGGGCAAGGTCCCAGGGGATAAAACCTTCCAGACCAAAGTCACAGCTCTATCTGATTTGCTCCCCTCCTGCAAACCTAACCTCAGAGCGTTCAACAGTGCATATGTATTTGTATATAATTTGGTTACTTATTCGGATGTGTGTATGTGTGGGTATATGCAGACTACATGTGGAAATCAGAGGGTGACTTTCTAAGAATTGGATCCCAAGGGTCAAATTCGGGTCAACAGACTTAGCAACAAGTGTCTTTACCTGGCGCTTTTTTTTTTTTTTGGTTTGTTTGTTTGGCTTTAAAATATGTTTCACTTGCCCAGTGTTGGTGGCGCACCCCTTTAATCCCAGCACTCGGGAGGCAGAGGCAGGCAGGCGGATCTCTGTGAGTTCGAGGCCAGCCTGGTCTACAGAGCAAGTTCCAGGACAGCCTCCAAAATAATGCAGAGAAACCCTGTCTCGAAAAACCAAAAACCAAAAAAGGGGCTGGAGAGATGGCTCAGTTAAGAGTACTTGCCACTTTTACAGATGACCTGAGATCAGTTCCCAGAACTCAAATGACTGCTCACAACAAGTCCCAGGGAATAATCTGATGCCATTTCCTGTCTCTGTGGACACCAGGCATACATGAAGCACACACACACATGCAGACAAAAAACTCAAAATAAAAGTGAAACATTTTTTTTTCTTTTTTTGTTTTCTCAAGACAGGGTTTCTTTGTATTGCTTTGGAGGCTGTCCTGGAACTTGCTCTGTAGACCAGGCTGGCCTCGAACTCACAGAGATCCGCCTGCCTCTGCCTCCGAGTGCTGGGATTAAAGGCGTGCGCCACCAACGCCCGACTTTCGTCTGTTTTGAAACTGCATTTTGCTATGTTCTCTAGACTGGTCTGAAACTCCTGGGTTCAAGATATCCATCTCCTGCCTCAGCTTGGCAAGCCACAGAGAGAGCGTTGCAGTTTCATATTTTGCTGGGTGGCTTCCACAAAGCTTTTACTTTGTTACAGGTGCTCAAAAATGTTGACTTCTGTGTCCAGGAAGAGAGAGGGGTCTCCAAAGCAGCAGAGGGTTCCTGTGGGTTCTGAATGGTGTTACAATGTCTCATAATTTTAGAAAGCTCTTCGTTTTACATTTTATTATGTGACCCATCCAGCAGGGGGCTACTGACTTCTTGTCCCTAGTGTATCTATCCCCCCCTGCATAGCTTCGCTTGGGACGTCCATAGGTAATCGCTGCACCTTTGTTGTGTGTGTATATGTGAAATACACGTGATGTGGGTTTTAGTGTGTTCTTAGTCTTCTTGGAAGTTTGTGCAATGACTTCCCTTCTGACTTGTGTGTTTTCTACGCATACTTCCAAGTAGGCCGATGTGTTTTTCTGCGGTCCCTCGATCTTGCTGGGCCTCTCTCTCTCAGGATGGTGGCTGAGCCATCTGTTACATGTCTGGGAGCCCCTCTCTCTAGCTACCTCATGTCCGGACATATGCTTACCCCCAGCGATTGCACCCACCCGCATTACTACTCCCAGGCAAAAAAACGTGCACCGGGACACCTAGGGATTAGGCAGCCAAGGCTCCGCCTACGTTTTGTTTCCTCCTCGGAATTTCCAGCCCTTTGCAGCCAACTGCGCCCCAGCTGCGAAGGGCGGAGCTCCGCGGGCCGCCCCCTTCTTTGGCTATATAACTAGCGCAGGCTCGCTGGGGGGGATCAGCACCGCTCCTCACCTTCTCCGCCCCACGCTGAAACTATGTGCCACTCGCGCAACCACCTCCACACCATGACTGGCCTGCCGGCCCCGGCTCCCGCTTCCTCCACCAGCTCGGAACTCCGGCGGGGCTCCGGCCCCGAGGTTTTCACCTTCGACCCTCTCCCGGAGCCGGCGGGGGCGTCTGCCGCGCGTCCCAACCCTTCCCGCGGGCACCGAAAACGCAGCCGAAGGGTTCTCTACCCTCGAGTGGTGAGTGTCGCCGGAGGGGGCAGCAGCAGGGGTTCGCGTCGCTCCGGTCCCTACAGGGAACCCTAGACGCGGGGGACCTTCATCCGACCTAACCCTCTTCTTCCATCTCGTTGCCAGGTCCGGCGCCAGCTGCCAACCGAGGAACCCAACATCGCCAAGAGGGTCCTCTTTCTCCTGCTCACCATCGTCTTCTGCCAGGTCTTGATGGCTGAAGAGGGTGTGCCGCAGACCCTGGCTCCGGAGGATGCCACCAGCGCCGCGTCACCCGAACCCATCCCTGCGCCCATTACCGCGCCCCCGGTGCTCGAGCCCTTGAACCTGACCTCCTCGGAGTCCTCGGACTACGCTCTGGACCTCAAAGCTTTTCTTCAGCAACACCCAGCGGCCTTCTGAACGCGCCGGGTCACACTCGTTACGGAAAAAAACAAAGAACAACCGAGGCACCAGGCGTAATCTGGTGCGCCAGAGCGTATCCCAAACTGGGACTTATAAGGCGATGCTAACGCAGAACACTACGGCCAAGATCCGGGTGCCTGAGGCCAGCCCGAGGCACCGTGCGTCCTGGCCGAGGCCCACTGGGAAGGACCAGAAGCATTCTCAGCGTCCTAATTAATATTTATGTATTTATGTATATCCTCCTAGCTGAAGGAGGGGGTGTATGTAATATTTATTCTAACTTATGCAGGGGTGCGGGATATGCCCCCTTGCCGTAACGCAGACAATTGGATTATTTATTGATGATCTATAGGATCGGTGGGACCAGAGTGGTGGGAGGGAGGCCCTGGGTGGGGATTAGACTTGGTGGTAGGTCATGGGTTTAGGGGTAACACTCCGTCTTCCAGCACCTCGACTCTGTAGTCTGTTGTAAGGCTTTATCGGCAGACCCTTGAGGGGTCTGGTCTGTGGCCTTTGATGTCCTTTCCTGGTTGCTTCTCAAGGGGGCGGCTGCGGGAGTCTCGGGTCCATGGGTTGTCAGAGGGCGGCTGTTGGGGGTCGCCTTAGTATGTTCTGTGAACACGAATAAACTTGATTGCCGGTTATTACGATCAGCAGTTGTCCAAGTGCATCTTTTCACGCGGCCAAAAAAAAAAAGGGGGTGGGGGGTGGCGGCGGGAGGATGTGACTAGGTCCCCGGTCCGCACCCCTTCTTGGGTCCCGAACTCTTTTTCTTGGAGTTAACAAACCTATATCCGGTCACCGGATGCTGTCACACATTGCTGGGCCTGCGGTTTTGCCAGTTGGCGGGTGGTGTGGCAACCTGCTTACTCACCGCGGACGGCAGGTACCCAGCGAACTGCCTGGGAGGGCGTGGCCTCGGTGGTGGGGGTGGAGCTTGCCGGACCAGGCTAGCGGGCGAGCCTGGCAGCCCCTCCGGGACTGCTGAGAGCCTGAGCGCCGCGGACCCGAGCGGGGCCTGCCGGGAAAGGGGCGGACCGAGAGGTTGGGTGGGGGCGGGGTCGCGGCTGCTGCAGCAACAGGGTGCGGCCCGGTGGGGGGCACCCGCGCAGCTTCCAGTAACCCGGGTGTGCGAGCTGCCCCTGCCTCTCGCTAGGGCTCTGCGCGCCTCCGCGCCTCCCAAGATCCCGGGAGGGTTGCTACCCGCGTCCCCGGAAGGTGAGTGGGGAGGGGAGGCGGAGCCTCGAGCGGCCGAGGAGCGGGGAGGATGCGGAACCTTCTGCAGACAGACCCCAGGGCTTGGGGCAGCTTTGTGGGATGGAGAGGCTGGGGGTGGGGGGCGCGGGAGAAGAAGACAGAATCAGCAGGCGCAGAAGAGGAAGTCCCTGGGGATCTTAGGGCTGTCACGGGGGCGCTTAAGGTACTGGGCGGTGGCAGGGGCAGACCGTTCTCCTGACGGGAAGGGGGAGGGAGGTGCCCCAAGGCCCCCTTCCCCTCTGCAAAGGTTTCCTCTCTGTCCCCCTCCAGCCGCAGGCTCAACCATGTTTTTCACTTGTGGCCCAAATGAGGCCATGGTGGTCTCCGGTAAGTCTCTTCCTAGCCAGTGACACCCGCTCCGCCCCCCCCAAGCTCCTTTAAGCTCGACCTCTGCCCGCTCCTCTCCTCGCTTAGTTTACCAGCCCCAATTTCTGCCCACGGTGGCCACGAACCACCTGTGATTCCCCACGTCTATCTTCCAAGGCCTAGAATGCTCGCCCTCAATTCCCACCAGGTTCCTCCTTGTGTGTTCCACCCTTCCATCCATAGTCTTTTTTGGCCACATTACGCCCTCACCTTACAGGGTTCTGCAGGAGCCCCCCAGTCATGGTGGCTGGAGGCCGAGTTTTTGTCCTGCCCTGCATCCAGCAAATCCAGAGGTAGGAAACCCACAGACCCCCCCCCCGGGGGACGGGGGAGCCTATTTTCCTCTCTGCTCTTTCCCTTACTGTCTGCTCCCCCCCAGGATCTCTCTCAACACACTGACCCTCAATGTCAAGAGTGAGAAGGTTTATACCCGCCACGGGGTCCCCATCTCAGTCACGGGCATTGCCCAGGTGAGGGTTTCAGAGCCTTCTCCCCCCCTCCCCTCCCCACACAAAGCCCACGCCCACCTTTTCCTGGCCATTGAGTTAACCCTGACCAGGGACTTCTCTCGACTCTGCCTTTCCTCTGGTCTCATCTTCTCCAGCCAACCCCACCCCCCCCAAAGGCCCCTCGCTCTTCCTCCTCCTCTCTCTCTACTGTGGCTGCAGGTCAAAATCCAGGGCCAGAACAAGGAGATGCTGGCAGCCGCCTGCCAGATGTTCCTAGGGAAGACCGAGGCGGAGATTGCCCACATTGCCCTGGAGACGCTGGAGGGCCACCAGAGGGCCATCATGGCCCACATGACTGTGGAGGTGGGGCTGGGGGACAAGGGAAGAGCTGGGTAGGGGGCCAGGGTGAGTGGCACCTGAGGACAGGCTTGCCTGTGACAGACTTATGGAGGAGTCTGACCTCCCCCTTCCCACTCTTTCCCTCCAGGAGATCTATAAGGACAGACAGAAATTCTCAGAGCAAGTTTTCAAAGTGGCCTCCTCAGACCTGGTCAACATGGGTATCAGCGTGGTTAGCTACACCTTGAAGGACATTCACGATGACCAGGTGAAAATACTCGGTTGAGGCAGGCTTGGCGGCTGGAGCCTGTAATCCCAGCGCTGGGGATGGGGGGGAACTAATGCAGGAGGGATCCATAGGTTATCCAGGCTACATAGTGAGTTCCATCCCAGCCTGGGCTACATAGTGAGTTCCAGACCAGCCTGGGCTACATAGTGAGTGAGTTCCATCCCAGCCTGGGCTACAGAGTGAGTTCCATCCCAGCCTGGGCTACATAGTGAGTTCCAGACCAGCCTGGGCTACATAGTGAGTGAGTTCCATCCCAGCCTGGGATACAGAGTGAGTTCCATCCCAGCCTGGGCTACATAGTGAGTTCCAGACCAGCCTGGGCTACATAGTGAGTGAGTTCCATCCCAGCCTGGGCTACAGAGTGAGTTCCATCCCAGCTTGGGCTACATAGTGAGTTCCAGGCCAGCCTGGGCTACAAAGTGTGATTAAAGGCGGTGCATGCCTTTAATCCTGCACTTGGGAGTCAGAGGCAGGTGAAATCTCTGTGAGTTGGAGGCCAGCCTGGTCTATAAGGCAAGCTCCAAGACAGCCAAAGATACGTAACAGAGAGACCTTGACCGGGAAAACAAAGAACAAGTTTAGTGTGTGCTGGGGCCTCTGGCTCAACCCCCCGCACCACAAAACAAACAAAAGCCCTGATCCCATCTCTCAAACCCTCCTGAGACCCTGGTTTCACTCTCCCACAGGACTACTTGCACTCTTTGGGGAAGGCTCGAACAGCACAAGTCCAGAAAGATGCTCGGATCGGGGAAGCAGAGGCCAAAAGAGATGCTGGGATACGGGTGAGGGAGATGGGGGTTTCTTGGTCACCACTGACTTGCTAGATACCCTAGGGCACAAGGGGGTTTGGAGGGTCCAGCTGAGTGTGGTTGGCCAAGCTGGGTCATCAGGGGGTGACAGTAGAGACATCTGGCGGAGAGCAGGCCCCTTACCCTCTGGCCTCCCTCACTAATCTGTCCTAGGAGGCCAAGGCCAAGCAGGAGAAGGTATCTGCGCAGTGTCTGAGTGAGATAGAGATGGCCAAGGCACAGAGAGACTACGAGCTGAAGAAGGCCACCTACGACATCGAGGTCAACACCCGCCGAGCACAGGCGGACCTGGCCTATCAGCTGCAGGTAAGTGCAGCCACGTGGGGCTTGTCTAGGCTGCTCAGTGGGTGGTCCCTCTCCGTTCTCTCTTCCATCTGTAAATTAGGAGAGGCTTCTGTCTTCGCTCAGACTCTGGTTCCCCAGCGTTAGCGCATCTCCCCCATCTGAAGAAAGACATGGCAGTCTCGAGCAGAGACTGGAGAGGTAACTCGGTTGGTAAACGTGCTGGGTGGCACACACACGTGTCATCCCCGCGCTGGGGAGGCAGAGACAGGTGGATCTTGGGGGGAGTCCCTGATTAGCGGGGCTTTGTCTCAGAATGTAAGGTAGATGGTGCCTGAAGAGGCATGACAGTGTTAAGTTGTCCTCTGGTCTCCGCAAACACACATGTGCGAGCACGCCTGTACACGCGTGTGTATCTGCACATACATACAGACTGGAGCATTCAGCTGAAAACCTCCCCAGAAAAGAAAGAGCAGGCCAGGTGGTGGTGGTGGTGGCACACTCCCTCAACCCCAGCACCTGTGAGGCAGAGGCAGGCGGATCTCTGTAAGTTCAAGGCAAACCTGGTCTACAGGGTGAGTTCCAGGACAGCCAGGGCTACACAAGAATCAAGTCTCAAAACCAAAAGAAAAAAAAAAAAGACAGACAGAAAAGAAGACAAGAAAGAGAGGCCATGGAGGAAGAGGGCTAGGCTGTGCCTGTCTGTAAGGGCATCTGGCTGCAGAGAGGAGCCTGTGCTCCACGAGCCAGGCTGTGTTCTGGGGGAATAGTCTGCACCTGTTCAGAAGAGGAGAAGCGTTTTTTTCTCACTTGCACAGGGTACCCCAAAACTGTGGCCATCAAAGAAAGGGGTGAGGAAGGAAACAGACCTGGGCCTTGAGTGATGAACAGTGATCCACGGGCAGCCCTTTTATCACAGGGAGGTTTAGCTGGTCTCGCCCCTCATGGGCTGCCTACTCACTGGGATTAGTGGGTGAGCCCTAGGTCAGTGCTTGCAGCATTTGCATAAAGCCTGGGCAGGCGCAGAGTGCTCAGAGACTCTAGTTGTCTGATGCAGTCTCTGGATGAGATCAAATAAGGAAAAGGCTGCCTTGTTTTAGCTCTCAGGCTGCAGACGACCTCACCACGTGTCATCAGCACCTTTTCTGCATTTCTGTGCTTTTCGTTATCGATTTTGCTGTTTAAAAATGACTCTTAGAGCTTAGGGTATCACACACACACACACACACACACACGCACACACACACACACACGCACACACGCTCACAATAAAACGACACTCACATAGTATTGAAGTGCTATGTGGAGTCCCTTAGCACAGACGCTGTGGTATGCCCTATGGAGAAAGTGTGTGCCTTTGTTCAGACAGGAATTAAAATGCGAATGGCTTCTGCTCCACAGGAATACATCAGCTCTGTGTGTTTCATACGAGGTATATCTGCTTTTTTGTTTTTTGTTTGTTTTCATTTTGTTTTGTTCTTTGAGACAGGGTCTCACTATATACCTTGTCTGTCTGGTCTGGAACTATATAGACCACTGGCTGGCCTCAAACTCATCTGCCTCTACCCTCCAAGGGCTAGGATTAGAGTTGCAGACCACCATGTCCTGCTTGCTTATTTGAGAAAGGGTCTCACACTATAGTCCAAACTGGCCTCAAACTTGTATAGCAATCGTCCTGTTTCAGCCTCTTTCTTTCTTTTTACGATTTATTTATTTATGCCCTATTTGCATATATGAGTTTATGCCAGAAGAGGGCATCAGATCCCACCAGAGATGGTTGTGAGCCACCACAACCTTGGAATTGAACTCAGGACCTCTGGAAGAGCAGCCAGTGCTCTTAACCACTGAGCCATCTCTCCAGCCCCGTGTTTCAGCCTCTTTACTGCTGGGATTACTGGTGTGTACCACCATGCCTAACTTGGAAGGTATCTTTTGTTTTTTCAAGACAGGGTTTATTTGTGTAGTCCTAGTTGTCCTGGAACTCACTCTGTAGACCAGGCTGGCTTCGAACTCAGAAATCCACCAGCCTCTGCCTCCCTCCCTAGTGCTGTTATCTGTTAATAAAGATGTGCACCACCACACCTGTCTAGAAAGTATCTTATGGGCTGGAGAGATGGCTCGGAGGTTAAGAGCACTGACTGTTCTTCCAGAGGTCCTGAGTTCAATTCCCAGTAACCACATGGTGGCTTACAACCACCTTGAATGAAATCTGGTGCCCTCTGCTGGCATGCAGGCAGAAGA